GTGTTTCAAGTCTAGACAAATATCCAATGCTATTATTAAATCCATCCCAAAGCTCAAAATGAGACAAACTTTGGTAGCTGGCTCCATCTCTCTTAAATACTTCCTTTGGCTTATTATTTTATTCCCCTCTGTTTTTTACACAGCTTTTGAAGTTCAAAGATTATTCTTGTTTTCTGGCCAGTACTCTTTTAAGTCAATGTTGCTTCATTTTCCCCTAGTTTTTTTAATTGAACTTAAACATGGCTTTAAATATAAATATCATCTGTGTCAAATGGCATGCAGGTTAGTACCGTAATAAAACTTGCCTTCTTCTTTGTAGCCAATAAAGGAAGCACAAGTCTTTGTAATATGAGCAGAAACTGTGCCACGTTTCCACGTACTGCTGATGACTTTGCTAATCACTATGATAGAAATCTTTCCCTCCAATAATTTCTCTCAGTTCCATTTTGAAGAAACTTCAGTGAAATTAGCTCTTTCGTTTATCCCTTTAATTCACATCTTGATCCAAGTCTTCACTCTGCTATTGAACAGTGGTGTTCTCTATCTCTATGGAAAAGTGGACATACAGGTAGTTCTTGGTGTATAACCATTCATTTAGTGACTGCTCAAAGTTACAATGTCACTCAAAAAACTGCTTTATGACCAGTTCTTCTGACTGTTGCAGCATTCCCCCCCCCAAAAAAAAAACATGATCAAATTTCAGGCACTTGGCAACTGGCATGTATTTATGGTGGTCCCAGAGTCATATAATCACCATTTGCAACTTTTTCAGCCATCTTCCAGCAAGCAAAATGAATGAGGAAAAGATGGTTTTGCTTAATGGCTACATGATTCACTTAACTGCAGTGATTCACTTAACAACTGTGGCAAAAAAGGTAGTAAAATTGGGCATGACTCATTTAGCAAGCACCTTGTTTAACAATGGAAATCCTGATCCCAATCGTCATAGTTAGTCGAGGACTACCTATCCATCCTTAAAATTTCTGATTGCCAGAAGCTTGGGCTAAAACATTTTGCTCTTGATAGGTCTAGGACAACTCGTTGCAGGACAACTCACCATGGCCAACTCGGTGTGGGACAAGAGTTACATCAATATTGTTGAAATGGTAGAATAGAATCATTGAGGAAAGGATGCCAAAGGGGGTTCAAATGTAAATTAGAAAAAATAAAATAATATTTTAATTATTTTAAATAATTAAATTGAATTATTGAATTGTCCTGCAGTGAGTTATTCCGTGGTGGGGGTTGGCCATGACAAGATGTCCCATGGTGGGGAAGAAGGCAGCGCCTTCTCGCTGACAGACCATAGATCGCATCTCTCTGCAGCTATGGTCTGTGCTCTTTCGTTGGAGAGCCCCAATAATTACAATTAGGGGCTGAAGCTGTCTTGGAGGGGCGTGGAGTAAGGGGAAGCCACAAGCCAGGGTGAGGGGAGCTGCATCTCCCCTCCTGGGCTTGATTTCCCCCCCCCAAAGACGACTGCAGCGGTGGTTTAAAATGGCCACCCCGAAGAGGAGGACTCAGCTGGATTAAGATTTGTGCAGGAGGTAAGAAAGAGGTGGGTAACATCTGAACTGGGACAATTGGGCGATGCAACTAAACAAAAGTACCCCGGGATTAAGGTAACATGGAATTTTTAAGAAAAGAAAAGTGAGCAGCGAAATTACAAATGGACAGGAAAGAAAATAAGAAAATATTTCTGACAGCTAAGCAGGGCTTCGAACCAGGAAAGGAAGAAACCGGAACTAAAGATTTAACTAAATTGGACTAAAATATTTTGGCAATAAACAGGCATAAAATAAAGCTGGACTTAAGATTGTCAAAAAATAATAATAATAAAGTTTACAAATTGGAGACTGGACTGTGTTGGAATATTGAGGTTTGAAAAACCCTAAATAAAAAAATAGGGGGAAAAGGTGAAGACTTTGTATAATGGAGAGTGCCACCTTTTGACAAAAACTTGAGCTCAAACAAGGGAAAGCATCCTGCTTCTGAATGAACTTGTGTGGATATAATATTAAAGAAATATTGAAACAAAGTAAGAAACTTAGAAAGTGAAAGCAGAACTAGAATAAAGAAAAAAGCAAGGAAAGACTGACTGTGGGATTGATTGATGTTTTTGGTATAGACCCTGGGCTGGAACAATTGAGAACTTTAGAAAATTGAAAGAAGAAAGAAGGAAAGTAAAAGTGGTTTTTTTGTGGACTTTAATGATCATAAAATACAAGAATGTGTAATGATTATATCTCTTCGGGAATTAAAAATGGAACTTAAAAATATGAGAGAATTACTACAGGAAAGAGGCGAATCACTTTGTTCTGTGTTAGAAAAAATGGAAATGGCGATTGAAGAACAAGAAGAAAGAGCTTCAGAGGAAGAGGAGTCGACTCAAGGAGAAGACATCTTAAATAGACAATTAACACAAAGAATGCTACAAAGAAGTGGGGAAAGAAGGAAGGTTAAAAAGTTGAGACTTAAGAAGGCAATCAAAAGGGGGAATACCTGTGAAGTCGGGAAAGACAGAAAGACCCAGCAGAAAAGGGGAAAGGAAGATATTAAGAAAGAGAGGGATATAAACTGGAATGAGAAAAGATATGGGGAAAAGAGGGGCAGGAGAAGCAGTAAGAAACAGATGCATGAAATAAAGAAATACAGAAATAGTAAAATGTTGAAAAGAAATTGTTTTTTCAGAGATAATTGTTGATGAATTAAAAAGTGGATTCTGCAGGGTGACAAAGGGGAAAAAGAATATTTCTGCAATTAAAAATATTTAGAAAATAGGGTAATATAGATATTGATAACTCTTATTAAAAATTAAGGGAGGAAATATGCTATGGAATCCAAATGAAATGATGTAATGATTATTATTGTAACTTCTTAAAAATAATGGTTTATTGGGAATCAAGATGAGGGAATAAAGGTATATTTTAACCATTGAGGTGTCACACTCAGTAGTAAAGCAGTAAAAGGGGGAAAACCTATACTTGTTTTTTTTCTTTAGTGTTAAAATTTGTATTAATTTAGAATTTATAAAAAGAATGTGTAATGGAAAGGGAATATGACAGACTAAAGAACCAACCAAATTAATAAGTCATATAGACTATTAAAAGCAAGGACAGACATTGGCAACCTATTATTATTATTATTATTATTATTATTATTATTATTATTATTATTATTATTAGGCAAACACATATTGTTTATCTTTATTTTTAAAATAAATATTAAAGGATTATATTTGAAATAATTGAAATGAAACAAAAAGATGTTTCAATTGAGATTAATGAAGGAGGGTAGAATTAATGTGTTTGTTTCTCTCCTTACTGAAAATTTGGAATGGAAAAGGTAATAATAGAATTAAGTATGCATATACGAATGTATAATTGCTGTCATATTTGTATGTAAAGGTGATGACCCAGAAATATGTTGTCCACTAAAAAGAGATTTTTGTTTTTATGTGAAAAACTGAATAAAATTTGTTAAAAAAAAAAAGATGTCCCGTGGTGAGTTGACTGTGGTGAATTAGCTGTGGTGAGTTGGCCATGGCAAGGTGTCCCATTCTGGCTCTTGATAGTCCTCTGCCTTCCATCGCACCTATGGTTTTCTGTTAGTCTATTATGCTAGCTCTGCCAGCCCATCCAAAACGGAAGGACTTTTGCACTGAGTTCCATAGAGTGCTTATGATTCCCTTGGCAGCACTTCTCCATCCAATCCTATTTCCATCAGGCCAAACACACCTAAATTTTTCTCTAGTCCATAATTTTATTTCCTATCACAGACAATCTAGCATGTCTCATGAGCTCCAAAGCAAAGAGGGGCAGCTTTAACCCTCTTTATATACTCCAAGTCCTTAATCTTGTGGCACCATCAACTCATTTTTAGTCCTTGCAAAAAATTGCATTCTGTACAGTGGTGAGATTCGTTTTTTTTTTTACTACCGGTTCTGTGGGCATTGCTTAATGGGTGTGGCAGGGGAAGGATACTGTAAAATCTCCAGTCAGAGGTGGCATTTGCCGGTTCTCCGAATTACTCAAAATTTCCATTACCGGTTCTCCAGAACTAGTCAGAACCTGCTGAATACCACCTCTGATTCTGCAGCAATCCAAACAAGGATGGCACCATGAAAAGCACAAATTAAGCTAATGTTTTAAGTTGTTTATTTTTGCTCAAATCGTATTTTGATTTGTTTCAATCCTTAAAAAACTTCAGGTACGCTTCAGTTTACTGAGACAATAAATTATGCAAACTTAGATATCTTAACTAAGATTGGTGGAACCAGAACGGCCAGATTTTGACCACTTTCCAGAAGGCTATGAAAATGGGGACCATTGTTGCCTTGCGGAGAGGGCTGTTCTGTGGCAGCAGAGCCCCTACAGAGAATGCTTGCCATTGAGCATAAGAACAGATGAAAAAGCACACAAAACCTGCCCACTGAGTGTCTTACATTTTCAGTAAAGCAGCTCTATTATTTAAACAAAATCAAAGGGTTAGAGGTTTTCTGGAATCCCCAAGCATATCTATGGATTGTGAACAGAAGTAATGGAGTTATTTCCCATTCTCAGTGGCTAAATGCACCTTATGCAGATTGTACATACAGCACTGGTATTGCAAAGCATGTTTTCTACAAAATCATTTTCTAATTTGACTAATTAATCAAAAAACACATCTGAGTATCAGGACCATATGTCAGGTTCTTAGATGGTTAAGGATAAGCTCCCTTTGTGGCATTTTCCAGTCTTTTAAGTAGCTAATCACTACAGTATTAAAACAGGCTTTTAAAATGCTTCTAAGTTTCAAAACAATTTCTCCTTACATATTATATCTGATGTATATGCTTCATATATCATGTGACATGTACTGAGATGAGAATGAAACCCACAGCTCTGAATTTTTTTTTACAGTAGGTCTGCTTTAATTTGTTTCTGATTTTTTTGTGAATTTCCTCCTAGTTGGTTTTGTTCCACATTCTCACCAGTGTTTCCTTCTTTTATGGTTTGCAGGCTATATATGGAACAACGGAGAATAGCCCAGTCACTTTCATGGGCTTCCCTCAAGACAACATTGCACAGAAAACAGAGACTGTAGGATATATTTTCCCACACACAGAGGTGATTGAACCCTTTGCCACAAGTACTGGTATCACCCTTCACAGTTTCCACTTGGATCCCATCCAAATCTATACTGTACACCAGGGGAGCATGGTTGGCTGGGGACTTTTGGGAGTTGAAGTTCACAGGTCTTAAAGTTGCCAAGGTTGGTCACCCTTGGTGTATACTTTGTCTTCCTCAATTATTCTCCTATCATCTCCTTATTATAAGACTATACTTTTCTCTGCATTACAGGCAAAAATTGAGCATCCTAACACAGGGGAAATCCTCCCATTAAATAGCGCAGGAGAACTTCAGATTCGAGGCTACTGTGTCATGCTGGGATATTGGGCAGATCCCAACAAAACCAAGGAAGTGTTGAATGATGAGCAATGGTACAAGACTGGGTAGGTCCACAGGAATTACCGGTTCATTGGGGAGACCTAGTGATTCTGATCATGTGATCCACAGAGATCCATCCAGTTGTTTACCATAGACTCCCCACATGCGCCAGTCAAAACTAACTCCCTGCCTCTTCCCCACTACAAATAGGAAATAAATACTTAATTTGTTTGTTAGTTGTTTAGTTAAGGAAAGCTTTTTCAGGTGGAAGGAAAAGGAATGCATACACAAAACTATAATCATTATTTTATTTACTAAAAATGGGAGCACTCATATTTTTATAGACGGAGACAAAGATTTTAAAAAATCTAAATAAATAGTGAACTCATTCAGAAATGGGTCTAATGCTAACTTTTCTTGAGACACAAAGCTTGGCATTGTTCCTAAATTCAGTATTGGTTCTGGATGCCCAGGAGCTGGTATGGCCAGATATCTGTTTGTCCATTTTGGCGGGTGTTCCAGCTGATATCCCTTTCTGGAAAGATAAATTGATTTACAATCTACATTACAACTATCTCACATCTTACGTGCTGGCCTTCCATTCATTTCCATGTCCAATCCAAAATGTGTTATTTATTTTAAAGTGTAAAGTTAGCATATCTGAGAGATTGTTTCCTCCCGTATAAATTTATTCATATTGGCACTGAACCAGATTATGTAGAGGGTGTGGACCACATCAAAACGACTACATTTTAAAGTGTTTTACTACAAAGCCAAGGGTAGTCCCACCCAATATTTTTCACTGTCAACCCAATTCTTGCTGGCAGGAAACATAGATCTGGTTTCCTTGTTGCCATTTGTGAAGCAGCTGCTGACAACCAATCGAGTTTTCATTCTTAAAGGCAGCAGGAAACCAGCAATCTGCAATGAATCCACGAATGGAAGGAGAAAGATTACTTTGGAACTTTGCTTAGGATTTCAAGGAAGGACAAAGAGTAAAATCTCAGTGTGGCTGTCAAGCCATAGATGCATTTGAATGGATAGAGTTGCAGCCCCTGTCCTATGCCCTCCATCCCTGCTAATACTCCAGAGATTTCTCAAGACCTGGTTATGTCACCAGGCTTGGGGATCCCAGGCAACTGATACTATCTTAAGATGGCTCCATTATTGACACATTCATTCTCTAGGTGTCCTTTTGCTCTTTAATATATTTCAGTGTTAATAATTATTGATTTATATATTTACAATGACTGTATTTTGATGGTTGTTTTTATTTGACTGCTTTTTGCCACCCAGAGACACTTCCAATGACATGGATGGCAAAATTGATAATAAACAAACAAATAAACAAATGCCTTGTAGGATTAAAATGATTCTTCACTTACCTGAAATAGAATTCACAGAGACCTACTTACTGCCTCCCATCTATGTGAGAATTTTCAATATAATAAATATTTGCAGTATAACAAATTGAAAATATAAAACTTCTAAGTAGGAAATCCGCAGAATTAAGATGGAATAACTATAATTTCATTTCAGGGACATTGCTATCCTCGATGAGTATGGCTACTGCAAGATTGTAGGTCGCTGCAAAGACATGATCATTCGAGGAGGGGAGAACATATATCCAGTAGAGCTTGAACAATTTCTACACACGCATCCTAAAATTCAAGAGGTTCAGGTGAGAAGGACAGTGAGAAAAGCCATCACACTTGGCTACTTGTTTAGATATTTAGCATCTAAAATTACACCCTGTAATAGGCACCATATATGTCCTTCAGAGAAACAGTGGAGTCAGATAAGTCTCAAGAAAAGAAACCTAATCAATAGTCCTCTGAAGCTCAATGTCTCCCTCCATCTATTCAGGTAGTCGGTGTAAAAGATGAGCGATTTGGAGAAGAAATCTGTGCTTCCATCAGAATAAAAGCTGGAGAGAAATGCACAGCAGATGAAATCAAGGCATTTTGCAAAGGAAAGGTAAGGACAATTAGAGGGATGTATTTGAACTGTCTTCCTCCTCTATTCCTTACCCTTGCAACTAAAGCAAGAGAGAGATCAAATCTCAGACGGAATCAGTTGTTAAGATAGGAACCCTAACTCAATGGCAAAACAGGTGTTCTGTGCCTCCAATCCAGTCCCCACTATCTCCTCCAAGGTTTTGAAAATGCTTGATGCTATGGAAAGCAGCTGCTAATTTAACTTCAATCATAGTAGCAAGATGGTTGGAGCAGCTCTGAAATAGAAGGGATGCCAAAAGATTCTCATCTCCTTAGAAGTATGAGAGCGTGAGACTAACCCTGCTAGATCAAACCTGGGTCTATCTGGCAAACCTTTGTCTCACATGATACCTTACCAGATACATGCAAGAAAACCACAGATAGGATAGCAAAGTAGCCCTCCTCCCCCATCATTGCTCCATATAGGCAATTGTTCCTGTGCCTGGAAATATCACAACTCATTGATAGATGCTCTCCCAGGAATTTGTATAGCTTCCTTGTGAAGCTACCTAAATTAGGGCCAATCTATCGTGTGGCAGCATATTCCAATGGTTGATAACACACTGCATAAAATAACATTCATTCTTACTAGTTTTTCTAGTGAGTTTCATTAGGTGGCCTCTATGGAAGAGACAAAACAGTCTTCCCGTTTGCTGTTTCCTTACAATGCTTAATTTTATAAACCTGAATTATATTTCCTCTCTAAATTAAGTAGCTCCTACAATTGCATTTTATTTTCATAGGTTGTTGTCCAAGCTCTCTGATCAATTTGGTTGCTCTTTCTTGCACTGTCTCTAACTTCATGATATCCATCGTGAAGACATCCTCACAGATTAAAAGCCAGTTCCGCAGGTCTCTCCTTCACTGAGGAGTCTTTCTGTACTTTTTGAAGATGCAGTCGGAAGTGGTAGTACAAAAGACCTTCCACCTCGTATTGCTCCCTCATGTTGCATCTGCTTGGTTTCCAGAATAAGGGTAGCATACTCCCAACTGTTCTCTCTCACACACTGAGCAGTTGTGAGGCAATCCAAGCACAAACGGATGTTAAGCATCAACTGCTATTCCAACAACGGTTGGTTGAGGGCTTACTTCAGAAATATCCTACTAACCAACCCCAGTTTGGGGGGCCATGAGTTTCTCACGAACGCCTCCCTAGGGGAGGAGAAATGGATGTTCAACAAACAGTAAAACTTCATTCAAGTTGCCACCAAGGCTTGCTTATGGCATTGGGGCTCTGTAAGATGCGTGAAACCACGTGGGCTGTAGCAAGAATATTGGTAAGAAGCTCTATCAGCCATGATTGCTGAGCTTTCACGGAAGTTTGAGAAAAGTTTGCTAAGAACCAGTCTCTTAGTCACATGGAATAACAGGCAAGCCAAAACAGATTCTGACTTTCTGAGTTTTGTTTTTTAAATCACAGATTGCTCATTTCAAGATTCCTCGATACGTGGTGTTTGTGGAGGATTACCCACTCACTGTCTCAGGCAAGGTGAGTAAAGACCTTCCTTTTTGTTGCCCGGCACTCGGCTGAGTATGGTAGGATATATATCCCTGTCTCAACATGCTTAATTCTAGAATTTGACGCAAGGCAACAATAGAGGAAAGTGAGAGAACTACAAGCAGTGATCCACGGGTAAATATAGTAATAGGGTTAATTTCAGGGAAAGTAAGCTACAGTATGAAGGAGTTTGAAATCCATGAAAAGGTTGACTTGAAGAGTGATTGGAAAGAAGCACAAGAGATGAGGACTTTATTTGTGTATTGGAAAAGGCACATTTGTCTATTTGAAGCATGTGGAGCCACAAGGGAAAAAAACAAAGGAAGCAGAAACAGGTGAAGACAGAGGGACAAAGTTTATAGGCAAATATGAAAGGATAAAATGGAAGAGAGCCTAAAGAGTTTTGAAGTAAAAACTGAACCACTAGACGTGAGGAAGCCATTGCAGGAATATAAAATTAGGAGTCATCTGACCAGAGTGACAAATATGATATATCAGTGCCAGAATGTTGAGTTACTGTGATGGCTACCAAGATCAGAAATGGGAAATATATGGAGGCCTGGAAGTTGGGGGTCCTATTTGTGTTCAAAGAACAGGCGTAAAACAGGAAGAACTCTTTGTTGCCATCTGCTGGTGAACTGGGTCATTTAGATTTGGTAGTCTTAATGAAATCTGTGCAACAGAGTAGCTGATATAGTTATCAGTGGTCCTCAGCAAGCAAACAGTTATCTGTGTCTGTTTGGAATGACTCAGAATTTGTAATCTAGTCTGACCTACCCCTCTTAAGATCATAGAATAATACAGTTGAAAGGGGCCTTGGAGGTCTTAGATAGAACATAAAGCCTGGCCCCGTCACATGGTTCAGACTCCAGGGATGGGTTGGGGGGTATGTTGAAACAAATACATGTGCCTGACAGTTCCCAACACGGTTTAAGGCTCGAGCCGTGTGTGAAGTAGCAGTAGAGCTTTTACTCAGCCTCAGTGCAGATGACACTTTGAATCCAATGCAGTAGTTAATATGGTAGTGATGGTGAAGAGATAGGATGACAGCCTTTCTGGTGTTTAGAATCAAACAAGAGCTTAGCTATTGCTTTAAAATGTTGCCACTATTTCAATCAATGGTACTGATAGGGGAGAATTACAAACTACAGGTACTCCAGCCAAGACTGAAAAGGGCTGTCATTGTTTACCTACTTCCAAGAGTGTCTGATTTGGGTCAGAGTTGAAGACTGATAAGAATAATGTACAAAGAGAGAAGTCTTGAAAAGAAATACATGAATATTTGTTTTGATATGTAAATCTTTCATTGTATGTGTCCTCTTTTATTCCATCCTTGGTGTTGCTGATGTAGATTCAAAAATACAAACTGAGACAGCGGATGGAGGAACATCTTCAACTTGCATAGAAGGCAGGCAGCGTAAGAGATCTCCCAAAAAACATGCTGTCTGCCGCCTTCTTTTAGTTCCAAACATTTAAGAAGCTGGAAAGGATCACTGGCCTGCCTTAAGAAGCATCAAGTTCTACTGATGACCAGATCAAGCTTGCTTAAAATAGTATGCTTTTTTAAAAGTAAAAATTTAGAAAAATTAAAATGCAGTATTTCTTTAGTAGAGATAGCTTTGTGTAATGAACTCTTTTGGCAAGATCATAAGAAAGGATGAGTTCCTCTAACTAATAGTGATCATGAGAATCTGTCCATATGATAAAACTCCACCAAATCACAGAGACCTCCATCCTGTTCATTCCTCACTTTGGGAGCAATGATTATCAACCATCATGTTACATAATAAAATGGGCAAGAGCTAAAATGAAAATGTAATGAATTATACATTTATAAATCTGTTCCTAACAACTTGTACAAATGAAATTTAAACTATAGATCTTCCCAGTTACAGATGCAGCCAAGAGTCTTTCCTCTGACAAAATGCCAGGCTCAGGAGGCAGAAATTGAACTGTTTCATCCCTTAATGCTAATTAGAGGAAGTATTTTCTGTTCCCAGTTCATATTAGAGCAATAAAATGCAAAGCAAAATGTTTTCAGACTAGATTTCTCAATTTTTTATTTCTCAATTAAAAAACAGATATTACAGAAATGTCAAACTTTCCAATGATATCAGAAATAAAAGTGTACCTGAATTGGCAAGCATTTTTTACGAGAGGATCAGGCACCTCCCAACCATGACACACTGAACTGCAGAGATTGATAAGAATTTTCATTTTCTTCAGCTACAGTGCTCCACATCAGCTGAATTATTAATCTCTTTGTTTACAAAACTGCTACTTGACTTCCATCTGTGTCTTACTCCAAATGAACTTTTTTCTTCTATTACTCAGCAGCATATTCCAAAAATGAAATAAATCTTTGAATTTTTAAGCTACCTTGTATACTTGTAGATCACTTTTAAACTACAGCATACTATACATATGCTTTGTATTACAAATACTTAATCTTTAATATAAAAATATTTTATATTTAAAAAAATCTGCTTATACATACATATTTGTAGGATGTATATATGTATGTATAAATCTGTTTTATTTCTGTTGAAATAGAATTGGATTCCAAACATGTGAAAGTTCTTAATGGAACTGAGGTTTATTTATGTAGTGGGCTTTCTCTTTCTTGCACAAATGCTGCTCTGTTTAATAGAATGAAATTTCTTTGACAGTCCTGATTCCATTCTTAACTCTTCAGAGAAGAAATGTATGATGGCTCCTTATCAGAGGAAAATGCTGAATTCAAAATTAAGGTGGCTTTGCATTCCTTTTTGCTAAATTGTTCTTGGGAGAACCATCAGACAGAAGGTATTCAGCTGCACAATAAACAGTTGGAGAAGACCAGCAAAATGAAAGGAATCGGAGCATGTATGCTCATGATATTACTGTATAACATCTACACTTTGGTTCTTCAGCTGGGAGTGGGCTCTACCCATGGGAGCAGAATGTTACTAGTGAGATCCAAAAGAATCACTTTGCATCTAAAATACAAAATAGACAGTATATGAAGAAATCACACTACTAATGTGATAGTAGCACATTAAAAAAAACCACTTTTAATATCTTAACCAGTGCATTTTCTGAACGTTAATATAGTATTCTTATTAAACATATAACATTTCTGAACTATTTAATATTTACTTACCAGAGAGGATGCTTTTCTAGTACATTCTGCAGCAATAAAAATGGTGTGGGTCCTTGACAAGGCAGGCATATTATAGCAGGAAACACAGGTAGGAAAGAGAGTACATTCCTACAAAAAAAAATCCAGACAAATTAAATTATAATGAAATAAATGCATATGCACAGAGACATATAGAGATATAGGAGATACAGATATAAATATTTATTTGGTTCATAAAATATGGACACCAAAATATTTCTAATATTGAATGGGTAAATTGTTTTTCTGGCTGACCTTCCCAATTTGGTGCTTTTTAAAATATTGGCCATTAGCTCTGGTGATTAGATGGGTAAGAACAAGGTTAGTTGGGTTTTAGCCAGCAATACTTGATGCCATTGCTGAATTAATCCATATTCTGGCTTTGCATAATACATTTGGTCATAACTTAACAAAAAGAAGTTGGTTCTTACAATACACTAGGCCACAATAATGTTTTAATATTTTCCAGTGTTAGAAACTGTGTCAGTTTCCCACCGTATGGATACATATGTAAGTCAAGGTTTCTCAAATGTTGCAGGATTTTGACAGCCTAACGGTATAAAATAAATTCTCCCATGAATGAATGACAACTAATACTTTTTAAGGGTTGCAGCCTGGTAGGAAATAAATCTGCAATATCACTTTCTTTTTTCTTTTTAACAAGTTTTATTCAATTTTCCACATTTTAACATCTCTTTTTAGTGAACAGCATGATTACAGGTTTCACATATATATACAAATATGACCATGGTTGCATATTCAATTTTTGCATCCAGTTCCTTATCTTAACAATGCTTTTATACATTTTCTATTTTATTGTATTATTCCAAATACTTATCTCATTATTCAATTCACTTAATCATTATACTTTAGTACTTTTAACTATCACATTTGTATATTCCATCTTAAGTTCTAATTAAAAAAGATACTTCTTCTATAAATTGGTTTCCCCCCTGAAATCTCAATATGTGTGCCACCTCTAAGTTACAAATTCATTAATTTTCACCTCTTTGAAATCCCTTTAAAGCATTTAACATTATTACTTAAAACATTAAACTTAACAATCCCTTTAAAACTGCATAGCATATATAAATCAGATTCTGCGTGGTTTTTCCCCTTTTTAATTTCATTAAATTTTTCAAAAGAAAAGGACATATTAATTTACTCATTCAAACAGTAAAACAATCCTAATCACTAAAGTTAATTCCATTTCAGCTCTCCTCCTATATCATTTCATTTATTTCAGTATATTTAATACATATACTCCATTCATATTTAAACAAAAAACAACAACATTCCAATCTTAAAAATATTTCAATATATCTAATATGCTTATTCCATTGTTACAATTATCTCTATGCATAAAGAAGAGCATTACATTCCATTATCGAAAAATAACAATTGTTTTTCCATCTTATCAATCTATATGTCCCTATTTCATAACTAAAAATTTATATTACCCCTCAATACCTTGCAGAATCCCCTTTCTAAATAATAATCACCCATTATCTCTTTCTTTTATTCACTATATTAAATGTGTTTATCCCAGAGTTTCTCAAACTGCAGTACTCCAACAATTCAGCATGAGTTTGCACAGCAAGTCAGCATGAGGAGCCAAGCCTGAAGTGAGTATAAATGGTGTTCACATTTCCTGTGTAGGCCTGATCTGATTTTTATAATTTTGTGATCCTATTCTCTTAAGTAGCTGGCGATTCAGCACAGATCACAAGCTTCAGGTAGGTAAACAATAAAAAAAAATACGATGCTGACAATTTTACAGGATATGTCACCTTTCATATGGGAAATCAAGCAGCATGCCTCTTTTTTGATTTCCACAATTTTGTAAGGTAGGTTGGGGTGAGACATGGCTGAATTAAAATTAGCTAGTTCACACTGCACTACAGCAGGCTTAATATTAAATTAAATCCAACCCTCCCCTCAAATTAAACTCCCTCCTTCCATCCAAGAAAAACTTCTGGTGCTGCTCCCATTCATCACACAGGTCCACTTGTACATCACTGCAGCCTTCACCAGTCACCTTCCCTTTACAAATTGATAATGGTTTTGAAACTTACCTGAAGAAACAGCATAGAAATCCCCTGCATAACCTACATACTGTGTAGGAATAGTCTGACTCGCTGCTCCTGTGGTTCTGGTTCTTCCCGTTGCAGCATCCTCTTTTATAACCCTGGTCCAGAAAAAAGGGAATCTCCAGTCACCCCTAAATCAGCACGATTTCAATATGTGTCAGCAATTAGTCACTCCTGTATGTCAAATCAGATCTCATCTTGCAGAAATGCCTTTATTTCCAAATATATGACAAGTTTACATCCTTAAAAAAACACAAAGATTTTTCTCAAGTTATTCCATATATGGTCATATACACTTCCTATTCTCTGCAATGGACTGGTGTCTGCTCTCGATGTGGTTATGGTAGCTAGTGTGGGGGACACAGAGGACAGGAAGGATTTACACACGATCCATATTTTCTCTTCCTCATTTTAGGTTTATGCAGAAAGCACCCTTGAGAATGAGAATATTGTGGGCCTTTCATGAATACTGAGAACAATGGAGTGCTAATTCATCAAAAGTTCTCTCTAGCTTTGAGGTGTAGATTCAATTCTACAATACCGTAAAAAGTTATTAGCATCTCAACCCTTACTATGGTGCTTCAGACGTACTTCATAAAAGGTGCTCTGGGACATTAATGTAAGACCTATCTGCCTTGCTTTAAAGCAGTCTCATCCATTCTTGGGAACAGCAATGGAATCCTAGGAAGAAACACAGCTGCTTTAAAAAGCTGTATAATTGGAATAGAATCCAAAGCTCTGCACAGCCCTATTACAGAGAACATCAGAGCTAGGGCCCTTTGCAAGGGCTTGGGAAGAAGGATGTGAAAAATATCAAGATGGCAAGATGACCTTGCAATCAAAGCCTGTATCTAAAAAAAAGGTGAGATTTCCATCTCCTGGCAGCAATCATCACCTTGACTTTTGTTAACCTCTTCTGCAGACTTACCTAACATTTTTCTTTATATCAAGACAGCAATTAGAACATTACATGGATGTGTGGTTCTTCCTTATAGTACTTCCTATACCTGTGAGACAAACATGTCATAGAAATCTCTTTTTTCTACCACATTTACATTTCCTTTGGGCCATTCCCAGCCCGTATCTCAGGCTGCTTAAAACTGTGCTTAGCTGTTTCACTTCTGAAATAGTGTTTCCTCTTATCCCAATAGCAATGGTCCCTTTGTGTAGAGAGATGGGGAATCAGAAAAGCAGTTTCAAGCATCTGTTGGCAAACCTTCGACCCAATGAAGGAGTAGATTTGTTTAACTATTCATACTTGTCCTTTTAAGTTCAGGGACCAAACTTTAAAACCAACATTTTAGTTTCCTTTGAAGCTTTAGTCTGTTAAACTATTAAATCAAATTATTCATGAATAACTAGAAATAAGCCTCTTATCTTTAGCATACTTTCCAAAGAATACTACATCCTGGTTCAGAAATAGCCCAGCAGGTAAGAGACACAGAAAGGTTGTTGCAAGCAGAGGCATCTCAGAGACTTAATGACTCGAGGGAACTTAATGAAGTTCCCTCACCTCCTGTTCATAATCCAGCAATTTCAATGATGGTGAGACAGACACCTCTAAGTATCATCTCAATTTGTCCCATCCTATTTTAAGAAGAGTGATTGTTGATTGCTTTCCTGCCAGCGGTGAAACCTCCTTACCTTAACTTAGCCTGCAATAAATAAGTAAAAGTATTTAAGCCAGGGCATGGTCCCTAAAATTATGTGTAATGAATGTGAAACGGACACCCCATAGCATTAAAACCTGATTTAATGCAGAAATTCATGATGACAACAGCATAGGCATCCCAGGATTTCAGATATTTAGATCAGACAGAATTGAAGAGACATCAGGTAAAACAAAGGGTGGAGGATTATGTTTATATATCAACAACAGTGGTCCCAGGATATAACTATAATATATAAATTCTGTGATCTTTACATATCAACTGCAAGCTATTTTATTCTCCACGTGAGTTCTCATTTCTCCTAAAGCTGTGTATGTTCCTCCACAAGCTTGTGTAAACAAGGCATTACGAAGCCAAACACCCAGATTCCCTTCCCATCATTTTAGGAGATTTCAATCAAGCAAATTTAAGGAAGGAGCTCCCAAAATATTTCCAGCATGTCAATTATCCCAGCAGAGGCAAAAATACTTTAGACCACTACTACACAACAGCAAAAAATGCTTATAGGTCTTTACCATGAGCAGCTGTCTACAGACAAAGACTTAAATCCATGAAACCAACAATTAAATCAGTGAGGACTTGGGCTGATAAGGCAAAGCTGAAGCTTCAGGCTTGCCTGGATTGCACTGATTGGAATATTTTTGAAAATACCTTTGCAGACCTAGATGAGGCTCACAGATACTGTAACACCATATGTCAGTTCTGCGATATGTATATATACACTTATGTGTACCAACAAGGAACCTGCAAATATATAGTAACAATAAACCTTGGTTCATAGCTAAACTTAAGTAGCTACGTCGTTCCAAAGAGGAAGCCTACAGAAAAGGTGACAGAATGTTATACAATCAGGCCAGAAATGTATTAACAAGAGAGTTCAGAGCAGCAAAAAGAAGCTACTCTGAAAAGTTAAGGAATCAGTTCTCAACAAATGAACCAGCAAACATGTGGAAAACTCTTAAAAACCTCACTGGTTACAGCAAACCTTCTTCCCAGGCAGAAGGAAATCAACAACTAGCAGATGACCTGAATGTGTTTTACTTTAGGTTTCAAAGGAAACTACAGCCACCTATCTCCACAACCCACATCTCAAACACACCACCAACAGCCAAGCTTCCTACAACTGACCCCAACCCATTGGGTTCCCAACCTCTGGTGATCACAGAAAAAGAAGTGCAAGATCTATTTCACGGACGAAAGCATGGAAAAGCATCAGGGCCAGACAAGATAACTCCTTCTTGCTTAAAAGTCTGTGCTGACCAATTGTCCCCCATCTTCACCCGAATCTTCAATAAATCATTAGAGATGTGCTATGTTCCTTCTTGCTTCAAAAACTCTACTATCATCCCAGTGCCAAAGAAGACCTCCATCGGGGAACTGAACAGACCAGTTACTCTAACATCTGTAGTTATGAAAACCTTTGAAAGGCAAGTGCTGTCCCACCTAAAAACCATCACGGATCCGCTGTTAAATCACCTTGCATACAGAGCAAATATATTGACAGATGATGCTGTTAATATGGCTCTGCACTGCATCCTACAACACCTTGAATCTCCAAATACATATGCAAGGGTCTTCTTTGTAGACATCAATACCATTATTCCAGACATTCTTCTAACTAAACTAAACCAGCTAGCAGTACCTGAACACACTTGTAAGTGGATCATAAACTTCCTAACAGACAGGAAGCAACAGGTGAGGCTAGGCAGAATTACACCTGAAACCTGTACAATCAGCATAGGGCCCCCCCAAGGCTGTGTGCTTTCTCCACTTCTCTTCTCCCTGTATACCAATGACTGCATCTCAAACGATCCATCTGTTAAAATACTGAAGTTTGCAGATGACACAACAGTGATTGGTCTCATTCAAGACGACGATGAATCTGCATAGACAGGAGGTTGTGCAACTTGCCTTGTGGTGTAACCGGAACAATCTGGAACTGAACACACTCAAAACCATAGAAATGGTGGTAGGTTTTAGGAGAAACCCTCCCATACTACCACCTCTTACAATACTAGACAACACAGTATCAACAGTAGAGACTTTCAAATTTCTAGGTTCTATCATATCACAAGACCTAAAATGGGCACCTAACATCAAAAACATCATCAAAAAAGCACAACAAAGAATGTTCTTTCTGCGCCAACTCAGAAAGCACAAACTGCCCAAGGAGCTGCTGATACAGCTCTACAGAGGAATTATTGAGTCTATCATCTGCACCTCTATAACTGTCTGGTTTGGTTCTGCAACCCAACAAGATAGACACAGACTCCAGAGGGTAATTAGGACTACAGAAAAAACAATTACTATCAACCCGCCTTCAATCGAGGACCTGTATACTGCATGAGTCAAAAAGAAGGCTGTGAAAATATTTATAGACCTCTCACATCCTGGACATAAACTGTTTCAACTCCTACCCTCAAAACGATGCTGTAGAGCACTGCACACCAGAACTAGACACAAGGAGTTTTTTCCCGAATGCCATCATTCTGCTAAATAAATAAATTCCCTCAACACTGTTCAACTATTTACCAAGTGTACACTACTATTTCTGTTAATCTTCTCATCACTCCTTATTACCCATCCCCTCCCACTTGTGACTGTATGACTGTAACGTTGTCGCTTGTATCCTTATGATGTATATTGACTGTTTATAATATGATTTGATTGCTTATTGTACCCTATGACTATTAAGTGTTGTACCTTATGATTCTTGACTCTTGACGAATGTATCTTTTCTTTTATGTACACCGGAAGCATTTGCACCAAGACAAATTCCTTGTGTGTCCAATCATACTTGGCCAATAAAGAATTCTATTCTGTTCTGTTCTACTCTACTCTACTCTACTCTACTCTACTCTATTTAACTACTGTAGCAGCCACACATTTAAAACATGTAACAGCATACCCTACTGCATACTCAGAGTTCAGCTTCTATCTAGTCCACCGTCTGGGTTTGTTTTTTTTTTTATCTTGATTATCATTGTCAAAAGCTCTTATATTAAATATTCTGATTTGGTGACAGTTCTATCAACCAGAAGTAATATACTTCGTTCAGCTGGTATCAGTTTATTAGTCGCCATCCAGTGCTTGGGTGGTGTAACTGTAAACTTGATTCAAGAGTTCACTTCTTTATACCAAAATATCAAGTCTGGTATCACCGTTTCTGACCTGTATATTTTATGAAAAGGTGCAAGTTTTCACCAGTTATAGCTCACTTCGTCAGATGCACAGATGTTTTTTAATAAAATGTTAGTGAAAAAAGTGGTATCATACATCTGAATTTTTTTGCCACCAGAGACTAATAGGACTCTCTTAATACCAAGAAATCTTAATCAAATTCAATACATTACTATAAGATTCACCTTGTGACAAGATGGGCAGCCTTAATAAATAAGGCTGTCACAAACATACCTTATAATCCACCTATTTTGACATATGCATGAAATAAAAACCATGCATGCGATTATTCAGACTTTTATTTTATACTATTACTGTTTTCTGTCTTCTATTCCATGGTCAACTCACTGAATTCCCCATCAGTGAAAAGCATGAAGTCTCTGAGCTGTTTACACTTGCTTTCAAAGAGCAACAAATCATTGTTCCCTCTAATATGAAATGCAAATAGGCACCTGTGACAAGGGCATCTGCTGACACAAGGGATTTTAACTCCACCTCACAAAGAAAACTGGTCTGCAAATCACAGAGGTTGCAAATATCTGGCCCAGGGGTGCTATTTAATCCCCTTCCCCTCCTCCCATTTTCTGTAATATCATGCCTAAATTCTGAACATTAAAAAAAACTTTGTCAATAAATAAGCAGATTTTGAATTTTGGGACATCAAAGGTAAAAAGTTCAAGACTGGAAAACAGGAAGAAACTGTTATTCCGATAAGTGTGTCAGATTGGTGAAGCAGATTAGACAACAGTTTTAACCACAGTCTAGTAATATAGCAGAGAAATTAATTAATTGCTTGCCTCAATTTATTACGCTTGTGCTGCAAGGATTGTAAGAAAACAATAAATATAGGTTAAGAAATAAAAAAGGGACAAAAGGTAGTATGGAAAAGGGGGAACTGTGCAAAAGGTGGGGAAACAGATTAAGCATGGGGAAATTCATGGAGAAACAGGCATTCCGGGAAGATTGCAACCCTGTGGTCTTTGTGAAAAGGGGGCTGCAGGGAGGGATTTGTGGTTTGGGTGGAGGGAATAAAAAGTTGAAGGAATGTATTCCTCGGGGTGTCTACCTGCTAGCCAACCGAATGTATTTTACATGCAATAAACTGCTTCACTTCGTGACTCTGTCAAATGTCTGACTCGTGAGCCTGTTTCTCACACGTCTGAATGCTGATCTTTGCATGATCACCAGGATGCTGCAAAGATCGTAAGGGTGAAAAACATAAGTCACATTTTTCAGTGCCATGGTAACTTTGAACGGTCACTAAACGAACTGCTGTAAGTCGGGGACGACCTGTCCTGCTAGGCCTTAGAAGAGAAGCAGTGGAGAACTCGAGTTCAGAAGAAACACGCGTGGATCCCAACACAGCCGAAGCCTTTCCTCCCCCCACCCATTCTGCCCCCCCCCCGAAGAGGCGGGTCTTATTTTCCCTCCCCTCCCTGACGATGCCAGAACTGCAGCAGCTGCCCGGAGTGGAAGCGGCATGGAGGCGTTGCTAGAGAAACTGCGGGCAGGGTTTCCCGCGCGGCTTCGTCAAATTGCGCCGAAGGGAAAGCCCAACGGTACCCACTCCCACCAGCGCCCTCCGGAAGTGCAAGCCTCGCTCTACGTCCACGTGAGTTAGATTAGAGGCCGGGAGAACGTGAGCGAAACCCCGCTTGCGCATGCGCCAATCGGGGCGGGGTAGGCGGTGGACATTCCCGCGGACACGCGCGGTGGTGCACTTGCCCTGCTCCTTCCTGCAGCCGAGCTCGTGCGCTGGGTTCCGGTGGCCGCCTTCTTCCTGCTTTCTGTTCGCTTCTGCGTAGACTTGGAAGGCCTGGGAGTGTCCCGCGCATGCGCTTTTGCAAACACTGAATTATTTGTTCCGCTCGTTGGTGATGGGTAGAAAAGTTGCTCGAATTTTGAGGTAGTGACAGTTCTGCTTTTCTTTGGTCGGTGTTGTAGGCCAGATATTTTAGTTGCATGAGGCAATTTTGAGAGGAGCACTTAAACTGTCAAACAGGAATTGGTGTCAGAAAAAGGCACTTTTGAAAATGCATTCTTAAAAAATTAATCCCCCCCCCCCGGTAATTTTAAAGGCATTCTGGGGATAAAGTTGTAAATTGCGTTTTAAACTAATGGTTGTCAATCCCAAAGGTGCTTTTTCAAAAGGCAACTGGACTTTGTTTTTTTCTTGAAGACGTTTCGCTAATCCAAGAAGCTTCTTCAGCTCTTCAGTGAAGAAACCCCTTCAAGGAAAAACGAGTTGCCTTAAAAAAAAGATCCTATGGGACAACCATGACCTGGATGACTGAGAATCTTCATAGACATGATGGCTGTCAAAGCTTTAGTCTTTTTAGTGCAGGTAAACTGCCATTGTTAAAAATGGGGCCAGCAGCACAGTGGAAACTCCCCACGCCCTGTAATCTCTAATTAGAATTGCACAAATTAATGGGAGCATGATAATTTCTAGATATGTATGAGCATACAGGAATTTCTAGATAGGTATCAACCACAGGAAATGATCCAACCCCCCAAACAAAAGTTGACATCAAAAGTGGAACTAATCCTGACCCAGCTATATTTTTAACAAAAAAAAATACTCAAAATCTCATTGAGGAAATACTGTAAAAGAGGAAACATAATAAGAAAATTGCAAATCAGAGCCCCGGATGCTGGCAATGGGAGAAGGGAACCCACCAATTTTCCCAACAGATTCCCATGTTTTCCAAAGCCACGGGAAAACCCTGTTCAGCTGTCCAGATAGCTGCATCTGTTGTGTTTGTTATACTGCCATTATAATGATGATGAATATCTTAAAGAACAAATAAGTTACAGCCCTACACATTTATATAGTTATGGATCAAAGTCCATAAATATGTAGCTGCCCAGGGTTGCTGTATCAATGAGATGGTGGCATAAAAAATAAATAATTATTTCATTCCATAATACAATTTAGGGAAAGAGCTGGAGACATATATGTGACAAAAACCAATTCTTAGAAGAATGGAAACATGTTAGCAAAATAGAAACAGAAGTGTCAGGTTGAAAGTAAGTTATATGAAAATGACTATGGCAACATCTGATAAGTTTCTATTAAGACTCTTTTCTTGAAGACAGTAATAGTAGAAGGGCAGGGAAGTAACTTTAGGTTTGCTAATTATGGATATCTATGATTACATCATTGATTATCTATGCGTATATATGACTGTATCATTTTCTCCTTTCCTGAATTATGAGTGTATTCTTTCATCTCTAGGAGTCCCTCTCATTTTCTTGAGCGAATTATTCTATTTATTTAACAGTGTGTACTTTTGAATAAATAAATACTGCAGTAAGCAGGATTTGATTATTAGGTTTTGGGTCCTGCATTTGATTCCACAAAAACTAAAGAATTATTGTCTTAATAGAAAGAAACGTATCGGTTATGTTACCATAGAAAGTTTGATAAAGCTTGCTGAGGAACTTCGGCAAGTTGCCGGAAGTTGCCAGAATTAGCACATATTAGTACAACCTTATGTTTTTATTTTGCTAATATATTCCCACTCCTCATAGATTTTGTTTTCCTCACAAATAACTAGTTGTAAGTTTTGTGTTGAGGAACAAAAATCAGTAGTAACCTCTAGAGGGCATTGTAATCTAGTATTTTATTTCAAGCTCTAGGAACAAGCCTTTCAGTTGGTTGAATGTCAGCTTTTGCTTCTTTCTCACTATCAAGATATAACCCCATATATCTCTGGGTGGGTTTTTTTTTTTTTGGTTAAGCATCAAATTACAATATACACGATATACAGTACAGTATTTTCTATGATTGAATTTATGTTTTTATTTTCATTTTAAAGCAAAAGTGTACAAGAATTAAAGGTATAAACCTATTTAAAAGACACAGAGACAATGGTTAAAATTTAACTTAAGGAGAGGATTCTGCAAGGGTGCATGGGATAGCATTGTTATATTAGAAATAGAAAAGGGTTAGAAAATACGTAAGATGATTAAAGTGATAGAAAAAAATTCTATTGATGTGTAGTGGAATATTTGTTTGTATAGAGAATAAGGCTCTCAATGATTTAAAAAGAAAGTTTAAAAAAACTGAAAAGAAACATGGAAGATTTTTATCAGTTGACAAGATGAACTTGAATAAGAATAATAATTGACTACTGTTAACAACTATTGTTTGGTTTTTTTAATTTAAAGACAGTAATAAGTAAAACATGAAATATAGATGATTAAAGTGAAAGACAACTGATATTACTAGGTAATGTTTGTTAAACGAAATAGAAATGTAAAAGATTGTTTTTAATATTAATGGCAGAGCTATACTTGAATAAAATAATTATTCCATTTACTATTGTTATACATATATACACAGATATATATACATATATACTTTTGTCTTTTAAGAATTTAGTGTGTATTTTTAAGAGAATGTACCAAGCAGAATTCGATTGAAAATAGGTATGTGTTATAAAATAGAGGTTAGAAAATGAATGTTATAACTGTAAAGGTGTAACTTAAATTTTTAAATAAGATTTGAAAAAAGATACAAAGGTATTACACTCCAGTCTAGTAATTACAGGGGAAAATCTGTTTCATGAGAAAAGATAATATGAAAGTGTAAACAGGACAGATGAAAGTATAAAAGCATTGATCAGAAAGATTTTAAAAATTAGAAAAAGATATGTAATTGAATTAAGAAAGGAATGAGATAATTTAAAATAAGGCTATTGGAAGTAAAGAAAGGGAAAAGCTATCGAAAAAAATGCAAAAATAGTTGTAAGATATGGATTAGAATGTATAAGATAAATATGTATTGAGTTTATGTCTGTATGGAGAAGAGATAACCCGGGGCCACGCTTTTCTCAAAAAAAGATATTTTATTCATATTTGTATGTTTTGTGAAAACTTAAATAAAACTTTTATTAAAAAAAAATATCTCTTGTCCTTTTGGTTCCTTAGTGGCCTTACTGTGAGAAACGCTGCAGTTACTGCAACTTCAACAAATATATTTCTCGAAATCTGGATGAGTTTAGAATGAAGAACTGCCTCATTCAAGAGGCCCAGACTTTGATCCACCTAAGTGAAGTTCAGAGGTAAATGATAGGACAAGGAGTAAAAAGGATTTGGAAGTCTCCAAATCTATCTTTTAAATTTTTAATTAAATGAAGATTCCCCCCCCACAAACTACATCATTTATCTGTTTTACAAGTCAGTACCTTCTGTACAAAACACACCGTAATGCCCCAATATTCTTAAATGTAGCACCAAGGAGACTTACTTATTTACTTATCAAATTTGTATAGCTACATATCTCACAAATATGACAATAAAACCAACAGTTAAAAACAACTCTAAAATAATCACTAAAAACAATTCAACATAAATAAGACTGCAAAAAATGGATCAACATTCTACAAACAATATATCTACCTCTTGTGAGCTCCCTATTTCCATGAGTTCCTCAAGCTAACTGGGGTATTTTTAAAATTAATTTTTATTGAATAATTTTATACAGTGGTAAAAATTACACACAGTCAAGAAACAAAGAGAAGAGTAAAGATAAGTGGTGGATAGATAAAAAAAGAAAAACATAAGGAAGTAGTTTCCAGTCTTCTTCATGGAAGTTACAAGTAAATTTATCTTCTATCCTCCCTTTTTAAGATTATGTCATAATTTATGCTTTCTAATCATCAAATCCATAGGTTGCCAGTTCATTTTTTTTCATTTTCAACAAGTCATAAAGGATTTCCATTCACTAATATATGTAGTTGTCTTTTCCCTAAACAAACAGTTCAGCTTTGCCATTTTTACAAATTCTTTATCTTCACCAATCATTCCTCCAGTGTAGATCTTTCCAAAATTTTCATATTTGTGGACATGATTTTTAAATTCTTAACATAATGATTTTTAAAATCTACACCAACCAGGTTTTGAAAGATTATTACAATAATCTTGTGTACATGTAAGTAAAGTATGTGTCAGTCATGTTTGATTTCATCTGGAATTCAGCAGACTTAATATGCCAAAAACCACATGTCATCTTCCAGGTACAAAGCTGAATCCAGAAGCAGCCCCAATTGATCCATTCTGATTATTCAGTGAGAGTTCTTCCCCACTGAAAACAATTGAAATTCTGTTCCCAAATCCATCTGTTCAGAAGCACGTCTGTTTTGTTTGGATTGAGTTTCAATTTATTAATCTTCATCCATATGATTATTGCCACCTGACACCTATTCAGGATACTGACAAGTTCCTAAAGATAGATTAAAAAGAGAAATCACCATATTTACTTGCTGATGATAATGGACTCCAAATATCCTTACTCCCTCCAATTTTGCATATATGTTTAATATGGATATGGATTCATCAGCCCAGTGTTCCCTGGGCCGAACACATTTCTCCTGTCTTCCTGAAACTGACTTCAAGCAGAGGCTGGAACTGTGATAAAATTGTGCCAAGGACACACATATATTACAGGTAGATTATTAGGATCTGCTATAACCAACGAATCCAAATCACAACAAATGCAAGGAATGTTATTTGCAAAATGTCTTAATAGTCTTCAGTAGCAACCAAATTATTTTTCTTAGCTTTACTAGATTCTTGATATAATAGACTTCCTATAACTTTAAATAGATGCCTATAGGGGGTTTCATTTGATCCTTGCACTATTTCTTTGCTAACCTGTGCTTATTTGGATTTGTTTCACATTGAGATGAATCCAAAGAAACTCTGTGATTCTGATGTTAAAATAGAGTGGCTCGGTTTTCAGTGGCTCATGTTCAAAACAGTGGCTCAGTTTCCAACACTTCCAAAACAATCAGAACATCCCATTTTAAAATTAATTTTGGTGTCTTGCAGAGTATTTGCCTTTGAAATGGTCCAGTGTGTTTTTGCATAAAATATACAAAGAATATTAGAGGTTGAGAAAATAGGGACAGGACCATCAGTACAAATAATCCTCTCTTCTGTTCTGGCTTTAGAATCACTTCAGTATATTTTGGTGGGGGAACACCAAGTTTAGCCAGCCCACTCACCATTGAAGCTATCCTGGACACCGTCTCCCAGTGCGCACATTTAGCAGAAGGCGCTGAAGTTACTTTGGAAGCAAACCCCGCTTCAGCAGATGCCCTCCGCCTTTCTGAGTTCCAGAAAGCTGGTGTGAACCGCCTCTCCATTGGTATTCAGGTGAGAGGTCAGGAGCATTGCTTTCAGAACTGCATTAGTCATCATTGACCTACAGTACTAGAATAATACAGTTAAAAGTATACTTAAAATAATCTGATGTTAATAAAATAATCTAATAATGTTAAGCAAATTTACTTACATGTGATTGCAGAAAGGAACTGAAATACACCAGTTTTTTCTGCTCCACTGATCAGTTTCTTACTCTCTCTCCATCCCATATATATATTTTCTTTATGTATACTGAGCATACAGCATTAGCACTTATACCGCTGTCATGCCCCTGGTGGAGACTGACTCTGAGGAAGAGGAAGAAAAGCCAACAGGGAGTGGGAGTGTGGCTCGAGAGGTGGTGGAGGAGGCTGGGGAAGGGCAGAGTCTGGCTAAGCAGTCAGAGGAGGATCCAGGCCCATCCCCTATCCATCCTAGGTCACGCAGGAGAGGATCAGGGGAAAGCAAGGTCTACTCAGGAGGAGATTACCATGATCCTCCTTGTGGCTTGCAGCTGGGAGCCATGTATATAAGTTTGTAGCTGCGTAGTCAGAATTGCTGGAGTCAAAGTTTAATGTTTTCTTTGAAAGAGGTTTATCTTTGCTGGTGTTCTTCCCATGGACTCTCCTCCCTTATCTTCCTGGAATGTATGATTAACTATCTTGGCTTGCTTCGGAACTCTCGTCAATGCGATTTGTTTTGGTTTTCTTTTTGCCTCATTATTTACTTTTGTGACTTTAAACTGTGCCTGATAAAACAGTGAAGTTAAGTTGAAGGCATTACTGGACTTTAATGTATGTTTTGGGTTTGGGGTTATTTTGAGAGACTACGGGTCAACACAACCACTTTACAGTGCTTTACAACCCTCTCAAAGCGGTTTACAGAGTCAGCATATTGCCCCCAACAATTTGGGTCCTCATTTTACCCACCTCAGAAGGATGGTTGGCTGAGTCAACCTTGAGCCTGGTGGGATTCAATCTGCCAAATTACAGTAGGTATAGCTTGCAGTACTGCACTCTAACCACTGTGCCACCGAGGCTCACTTATGCACCCAAGACAAATTCCTTATGTGTCCAATCACACTTGGCCAATAAATAATTCTGTTTTATTCTATATGTTTTTAGACTACAATGTGATAAGCAGCAAGTAAGGAGTGACAACTACTTCACAGTTATAAACTCAAAAAAGCCAATTCATATGCTGTAAGTGAATCAAAATCCAAGATCATGGCCAACCTGATTTATGGGAAATTGCTTCCTAGCTTTAATGAGTTTTTATAATTAAAGTAGGTAGAAGTGTCTTGTAAATTTGACATGGAGCATAACAAACAGCAGCTGGATTGAGTGTTTTTGCTGGAATAGCAGCATGGAAGAAAGATTTAGGTATATTTTCTATTGCTATTCCAGTCAGCATATTAATGGGTTGCTCTTTTTCATGTAATTTGGTTAACAACCTATTCTGTGTAATTCTTAACACCCCCCTCTTTTTTTACATGTTATTTACAGGCAAAGATTTATATATTATATGTATCATATATCTAAACATTATACGCAGATCTTTGTATTTTGAGCATATGCCAGTATACTGTGTGTACCACTGAGTTGGTAGTAGGACATTGACAACAGTCTTTGGACTTATGAGGTAATTTCTAGATTACTGTCCTTGACTTATGATTAGTTATCTAATGACCATTCTGTTCACAGCCACCACAGCCTCAGAACAGATGATTTAATGTTTGAATATGCATAGGGCTGATGTAAATCAGATTATTTTTCTTTTTGTATACCTTCAGTTTCTTTGGCTTACTATTTGTAGTCTTTTTGTGTTTTGCATAACAACAAAAGGGAACCACATAGCAGTTATGCAAATATGTATGCTTTTTACAATATTTCTATTTTTCTTACTTAGCATAATCATAATTCTCTCACAACACATTTGTTTCCTTTGAGTTGTAAAGCGTCAAGCATATTTATGATTTTTATTTCCTTCTGTGCAGTCACTTGACAATGCAGAACTGAAGCTTCTTGGAAGAAACCACACAACTTGTGATGCTTTGAGAACTTTAGAAGAAACCAAGAAACTCTTTCCAGGGCGTACATCTATTGACTTAATATTTGGTCTCCCAGGACAGACTGTTGCTTCCTGGATCCAGGGATTGGAGAAAGCACTTGCAGTATGCGATGACCATGTATCCCTTTACCAGTTGACTTTAGAAAGAGGCACATCTCTCTTCAAGCATATCCATCAGGGCTTTCTGCCCAAAACCAATGTGGATATAGTATCAGAGATGTATGAGTGTGCACGACACATTCTACAAAATTCAGGTTTTCACCAGTATGAAGTCTCCAATTTTTCAAAGAATGTAAGTCTTTTCTTTTAGCTAAACCTTGTACCATGCAACTCAGTAAAAGGAAGTAGGCCAAAGAAATTCAAAAGTTTCTGGTAATGAAATAAGATTTTTTTGCACTCTCTTTCTCTCTGTATTAGAAAAATAATACAGATATATTCCTTTTGCCAAAGTGAAAATAATATGATTTAAGAATTTTTCACAATAGTATTACCTGTTCATCTAAGTAAGATCCAAGTCTTACTCTGCTTCTTATCTCAGGAGAGAATGGTAAAAAGCTGCTACTAGAAACAAAAGAGAGCATGCTTAAATAAAAATTCTGTATTCTATTCTGCTTTGCACATTGAATTACAGTGGAAGCTTCTGAGAAGACTTTCCTTCCTCCTTCCTGGCCTTCCCCCTTTTTCTTCCAAGCAGGAAAAGTTTCCTAAATGACTGTTAAGCCCAATGAGGTGCCATTGGATTTTTAAAAAGCTACTCCTTAAAGGTTGTTTCTCTAATATAATGGTACAGTTGTGTGCAGATTTGCAGTTACTTAGCATTGTTTGTTTGTTTGTTTGTTTACACAGGGGGCATTTAGTACTCACAACCTCTCCTATTGGCAAGGGAGCCAATATATTGGCATTGGACCAGGTAAACCTATTTGGGGAAATGATGAGCCAAGCAGTTGCAACTGCTTCTTGAGTTGGTTTCAGTACAATGTACTGGAGTACCATTTCAAATATGCTTTTTTTAAAAAAATAAATAAGGGGGGGATTGGAAAGTAAGTCCTTCTTAGCTAAAAATGAGTGGCTGCTTAGTAATTCCTTTTCATATAATAAATAGCACCATGGGTTGTTCAGAAGAATCTCTTTCTTTCTCAGGAGCCCATGGGCGATTTGTACCACGGAGAGATGGTCGAATCCATCAGGAGGCAAGAATACAGACTTTGGAACCAGATGTATGGATGAAAGAAGTATTTGCCTTTGGGCATGGGACCCGGAAACAGACTCCACTCAGGGAACTAGATAAGTATGTAAGAAGAAATGTGGAGAGGTTCATCCTTATTGTTTCCTTTCTTTAAGCATTTGAGGTATTCCTGAAAACTCAAGTCTTGTTAACAAGCGCATGAATCACCATTTTATAACCTACATTGCATCCCTAATATTGGTGCAGTAGTTAGAATGCAGTATTGCAGGCTATCTCTTCCCACAGCCGGGAATTTGACCCTGATTCGCTCAAGGTTGACTCAGCCTTCCATTCTTCCAAAGTCGGTAAAATTAGGAGCCAAACTTTTGGGGAAAATGTGCTGACGTTTGTAAACCATTCAGACAGTGCTATAAAGCACTATGGAGCACTATATAAATATAAGTGCTCTTGCTATTTTGGATCTGGAGCCTATTATATATTTAAATTCCAGTTTCTATAAATCCAAAGTGCTAAATTACATATAAATCTTAGTCTATACCTGCTTTTTGGAGCTATGTAAAACGTCTCTCTCTCTGATCTACCTTTTTGCATGGCCTTTTTACTTTATAACTCTTGATTATGTTAATAAAATCTTTAAACTTGCCTGAAAGATTTAATAAAAATATAATTGTTACTAGACATGCCACACCTACTTAACCTCCAATTTAGTGGTAATAAAAATATCCTGACAGAATTGTTGTAAAGTTTATTCAAAGCATATACGTAGATACATATATACATATATACAAATATAGACACACACACACACACACACACATATATATATATACATATATACACATATAATATATACACGTGCAATTATATATGTGTGTGTGTGTGTGTGTGTGTATGTATGTACATTATATAATTGAAAGATGATATAGGTGAAGTTATACGAATACAGGTACTGCCCTGGTTAATATGTTAAAATCATTGACTTTTTCCCTTTTTCCCACTGCTGTTGGCACTAATATCTGCTTATCAAAATTCTAATGGTTGTCCCTTTTGTAGACTGGAGGAGGTTTTGATGCTAGGACTCCGTATGGATGTAGGAATCACACATCAGGTATAGTTCTCATATTTTAGTGTGATGGCTGTTCACGTTTGAAATGTTTGAAACATTTATTGCCATAATTCCAAAGCCCTTGGATGGAATGATTTTGCAGAAATGGCTCATTACTCCTTCTTTCTCTATATTGTGTGCCTTTTCAGTTAATTACATATGATGTTGCACTTTGTGATTGCATTGCTTAGCCATGGAAATTCCAGTTCCAGTTGCTGTCATAACTCAAGGACTGCTTATAGTCAATGCTAGGGATAGCAGAGGAATAAATAGCACATCCTGGTAACTAGTTTCTAGTCTTTGTTTTAGAAACATGACCTGTGATTACTAAATGCACAGAGACAGGAAGAGATCCTCCTGAGATTTCCACTAAACATTAGATTGGATTTTAAGACTTACATATTTCCGCCCAATTTCTTCGAACTTAGTTTATTTTTGTAAAATAAGAATTGTTCTCATCAGTGATTTATCAAAGATGGGACCAAACATGATGATTGACTTAAAGCTGTTATTAAAAAAGATCATTTCAAGCATTTGCAGTATTTCAAGTGATGTTCTGTCTATCTTGCAATAATTACAGGAAGCCTTCAACTTACGACTATTTGTTTAGTGACTGTTCAAAGTTACAAGAGCACTGAAAAGTGACTTATGACCGTTTTTCACACTTCAGGACCATTGTGGCATCCCCATGGTCATGTGATCAGAATTTGAATGCTTGGCATATTTATGACAGTTGCAGTGTCCAGAGTCATGTGGTCAGCTTTTGCGGCCTTCTGACAAGCAAAGTCAACGGAGAAGCTAGATACGTAACAACTGCAGTGATTCACTTAATGATTATTTGTGGGCAACAGTGAATAACTGTCTTGCTTGGTAACCAAAATTTGGGGCTCAATTGTAGTCTTAAGTCAAGGACTACATGTATAGCAAAAAAAGGAAGGTTTTAGATAGACAGTAATCCAAATTGCGGTGATGGATCCTCGTTAAATTTGAGTTCTATACGTTTATTTTCAAAAGAGGTGAAGATTCTGAGAAATTCATCAGGGTGACATTTTAAGAAACATATCTCTTAGAATCATTTGTGTTTTCCTAGATTAGCCCCCCAAATTACGGTAGTTCTTCAGTTGAAAAAATGTAAAAAAAAACAGTTTTAAGGGTATGCTTTTCTTTTTATAGCACTGGTTACAGTTTGCCCCCAGTCTCAGTCTGTGGGATGTGTTTGGTGAATCAGAGGAAATCAAAGAGCTGGAAGAGCATGGGTTACTTTTTTTGGATGACAGGTAAGGGGACTGAAGATTCATGTGTCTTAGGAAGAGGATACTGGTATATCTGGAGAAGGGCTTGTTCTTCAATGTTTTTCTTCAGTGACAATTATTTCTTTTTATAGGGGACTTAGGTGCTCCTGGAAGGGTCTGGCTGTGCTTGATTCTCTCCTGCTGATACTCCTGAAGCAGCTGCAACACACATGGATAGAAAGGGAAAAGGGAGCGTGAACTAGCTCCCAATGTAATTTTCATATTGGAAGTTAAAGCGTTTCAGAGATGGTTTACAGTCTGGAAAATTGTTCCAATGCAAAGGTCACATCCCAAGAAATGATTGTGCCTTCAGTGAAGCCAATGAGCTGATTGTGTTGTCATGCTACTGGACGCAGAGTTTGCTCTGAACTAAACAATTACTCCATCCCTGGGTTTTGTCTCTTTATACTAGGATGAAAAATGATCTATTATTCTAGTGTCATTGGGGCTTGTACTGGAAATAAATGAAGCATGAAATATCTTCACGCTGCATAAATAAATGGATTATACAGGAACTGGTTTTCATTAACCAGAATCTTCCGCTTTTGCAAGTACTAAATAAAGGAATGTTCCTGAGGGAAGAATTGACCATGAAGATAATAAAAGATTTGTATGTTGCAATTACATACATTTAATTCAGTACAACTGGAATGTCTTTGGGCTGTTGCTTACACACAAAGGCTACTAATGCTTCTAGCACGATAACTTGCCATACAACATTCCACTGCATTCATAATCCCAAAATTTCATTTTCATTTGACCTATTATGCTCCCTATTGAAAGTTTACCATAGGAACAGTCTAAATTAGTTCAAGCTGCCTGCTGGGCTGCTTCTGTTTATGATTAATTCCATGCAACCCATTCTTGACAATACATTTACTGGAATACGCGTACTCCTTGGGCTACAATAGCAATTGGGAGTGGAATTTCAGTTGCTAAATGATGTGGTCAGAAAGCACAATGTCACATGACCACATCATTTAGTGATGGCAATTGCTTCAGTCCCATTATTGTTAAGTGAGGTTTGAGTCTTTAAGTGAGCATCTCCTTGCAACTTCCTGCCAGCTTCCAACAACTAAATTAGTGGGAAAATTGGCAGAAAGTTGCATGTCCCAGGTGCTTTGCAAACAGGTAGACAAGTAACTGGCTGTGTGGGAGAGGGAATGAAGGAGTGGGTGGGTGGCCAAGGAGGCATGGTGCAAGTGTGGCTTGGGGTGGCTGCTGCTGGGTGGGGAGGGTGTTCAAGGGTACACAAGTACCAGGGAGAGTATGTAAAAGTGGCCAGTGAGGTGCAGCACAACCACAGTGAGGTTCAGGGAGTGAATATGAGGGTATATCAGCAGCATGCAAGATATATAAGTATAATTAATGAATGCCTTCTAGCAGATTCCAAATTGCTAATTTTTCTCCTGGAAACTAGGCTTAACTACCCAATCTTTTAATTCATTTTTACTGTACCTTAATTGAGTTCTATGACGTCTTTTTCCCCCTCTGATTTTGATAAAGCTTCATAAATTGGGTACTGAAATATGAATGAAAAACATTTTCTGGAATGTTTGGTGTTTGGTCTCCAGAAAGGAAAACAGTAGATGAATATTGCATATTGCCATCTGTGGAATCATAGATAGCATTTAGTTTGATTATCTCCTACTTTAGAGTTTCTCAAACTCAGGTAAGAGCAACGACACAAACACAAAAGTTAATTTCAAACATTGTGTTAAGTGTTTGCTTAACAGGCTGTAGCCAAAAGCAAACATTATGTCATAAAGTGAACAAGGCCAGAATGCAGTGTGCAGATACTTCTAAGGAGTGATGGCACAGAATTAGTGGAGCTCTGCATATATTCTGCCACATCATTTTCAGAAACTCAGTTTAAGAAAGTAAAGAGACTCTAATATGATTAATAATAATTGTTTTAGAATAATTTGGTAATATTTTATTCATGTAATATTGTACAGAACTTTATTTTCCCCCTCCCCAACTGCCAAATCACTCATTATCATTTTATTCTGTGAAGACCTTCAGTTCTCAGGGAAGCCAACACACTCTTATGGAATGACTGGGATTGATCACAACAGGAAGCAATATCCTATGAAGCCTCAGGAACATTATCATGCACCTAACCTTATTTTAACTGATATGTTGCCTGCTCCAATTAACCTCTGATGTCAACAGTGGCATTTACCCTATATAGAAGGTCAGAATTGCAAAAAGAAAATATGGAACATAATGATATTACTCAATAATCCCAATGTGGAATATAAAAGAGATAATCTGTCCTGCAGAATTTAGCTTTGATGAATTAAATTACCACTTCCTTATATTAAAATAGAACATTTAAAATCACAAGGGCAAATATATTTCAAACTACAATACTTCAAGATACATTTATAATTTAAATGCAGTATTTGTTAATAAATGCCCACCTTAAATTATGCAATAATTATAGATAGTATGGAATATTGATGCATTATGTATGAAATCAGTAATTTCCCTACTATTTAGTATTCAGAAAGAAGCAGAAAAAAAAAAGTTAAGATAAAAATAAAGCAAGCAAATGCTAAGTATGACCTCAGTTACAATGTCAGTGTAAAGTTAACAAACATTTTAATAAGATCATCTAAACATTATTTCAAGGAGATGAGAAAATTTAAGTTTTAGCTATACTTATTTTTGGAACTTGATAAGAAAAATGGTAAATCAATCTCTAAGGAGAAGAGTGAATTTTGCTAATATGAAAAAATATCTGATTTTAAGATTTTAAGTCTTGTGTGTGAAATTTTCTAATGTTCAATTTTTAATTCCATTCCTTATACAAGAGTCCTGTTCATGTGTAGTTTATTTCTACAAATTCATTGCAGTTGGCTAGCTCTTTGTTACATTATGTGATAAAATCTTGCAAAATTAAGTTTTTTTCCATAGGTGCCGGTCAGTCTTAGTAATTAAAGTCTCTTAATGCAGTTTTATTTTCACAGTGTAATCAAGTCATGTTTTTACATCAATATTTAAATGGGGAGAATAAAAGGGAACAGAAATATATATAAATTGTACATATTTGTTTTCAGAACTGGCTTGATAAACTTAGGATTGAACACAAAGGGAAAGAGAACTCACAAAAAGAAAGGGATGCAGGGAATCTGTTCATCGGGTCTGACTTTTAAGGAAGAAAAATATCAAAGGAATTAGGAATGTTTTACCTGATTCATTGCATTATCTCAGCCTTATGGTATACATAAGATTTTTCTTGGTTTCATTTTCTCCATGTATTAAAAGAGGGATAATGAACAGTAAGTTTGAAGATGGGAGATGAAGCACCACCACAGCATTAATAGTATTTATTTTATTTATTTGATTTGTCAATCACTTACAAGATAATAGGTATAAGTATATACATAGTTATGAATACATGAAATGGGTACATAAAAGAAAAAGAAATAATAGGACAGGGATGGTAGGCACGTTGGTGCGCTTATGCACATCCCCTACAGACCTCTTAGGAAAGGGGTGAGGTCAATAGTAGACAGTCTAAGGTTAAAGTTTTTGGTGTTTGGGGAAGAAACCACAGAGTCAGGTAGAGTATTCCAGACATTGACCACTCTGTTGCTGAAGTCGTATTTCCTGCAATCAAGTTTGGTGCAGTTAACCTTGAGTTTGTATCTATTGTGTGCTCTTGTGTTGTTATGGTTGAGGCTGAAGTTTTCGTTGACAGGCAAGTCATTGCAATGTATGATTTTATATACCATACTTAGATCAGACCGAAGACGGCGTAATTCAAGGTTTTCTAGGTCTAGAATTTCAAGTCTGGTGGCATAAGGTATTCTACAACGAGTAGAGGAGAACTCTTCTTGTGAAATATTTCTGGACTTTCTCAACCGTGCTAATATCAGATACGTAACGTGAGTTCCAGACTGATGAGCTGTATCCGAGTATTGGTCTAGCAAATGTTTTGTATGCTCTAGTTAGTAGTGTGATATTACCAGAGAAAAAGCTATGTATGGAAGGGAAATTAAGGCAACTAAGTGTACCAGGGTTAATTGATCTCACCTGGAACAGGACTCAACAGTCCTCATATGGCACAACAGGATGTGTGAGTAATTACAGGTCCAACCAGATGAACAAGTATTGTGTATTACTGGATAAAAAATAGCTATTGTTACATTCTGAGGGAAAAATATATACCAATAGATCAAATTTAGCCCTAGAATTTAAAGAAACTAGAATAGTCCTGCCCTTTACTTCAGCTTCTCTCTTTTTTTCTTCCTCCACTTAATGAAATTTCGGTGAGGGGTTCAGGTGGTTCTGGAATACAGTCCTTTCTGCTTTCCTGCTTTATAAAATCAATATTAAACGGGTAAATATCATAGTTTTAAAATTCACTTTGGGGGAAGAAATGTTCCAGAAGAAAAGGCAATAGAATTCAGAACCAATGGTATGGTTCTGAAATATCTTGGAATAACCTTTGGCTATTACATAGAAATTGAGAGATAATTTTAAAGTGAAACAACAATATTAATATAAATAAGCATGGATTCTTACTCATAAAGCAGTGCAGTACTTAAGAAAATATTTTTATTTAAATGCAATACTAAGCTGTGTGACAAACACTTTATTCACATCCTTCCAAAGCAAGTTCAAAACCTGTTGAGACAGCAGTGGCTTAGTAACAGAAGAAGTAGCTATGATTGCTAACCTTAATTATATAAGTTGATATTCATGCACAGACTTCAGTAGTTAAGTTTGACATTCAATCCAAATGTCAAAAGATAGAGAAATATCACATCTGTATCATCAGAATGGCATTTCAATGCCAATTCCAAATACAAGCATATTTTTAAAATAAATATGATTCTTTGGAATGAAATTCAATAAAAGAGTCCTAACTCAATAAACATTAGTCATAACTGAAACAAGTGGGATTTAGCATTGACAAGTTATTCACTCTACTGACCACAGGGGAAAGTAAAAAAAAAAATTACTCTAAATATCTGAAGAGGTAAGCATGCATAAATCAATGAACTTCAATTCCTCTAAGTCTGTGTATAATTGGACTGCAATTTTCTTTAAATTAAGAATAATATTTGTGAATGAAAATAATACTTGATTCCAGTTAGGTTCATTGGTCCTTTTTAATTGGCATCATTGAAAACAGACTGCTATTGATAAAATATACACAGGACGGAATCTGCTCTCAATTTCTTGAAAACAATAATTTATTATATAGTCTTGGAAAGGCTTATATGACAAACTGATAAAATAGGGTTTTATTATTAAATAAATACATAAACATTGGTGATAAAGCTGCATTTGTCCCAGCCGCACAAAACTTGGCAAAGCATGTACATCAATGTAGTGAGTACTACGAGATGGCCAATTCTTGAGGGGGGAAAAGGGAAATTATTGATACAGTGTAAAAATTTTTAAAGTAAAACACCATTTTCATAATTTGTGATTCTGTCTAATAAGTTATGTCTTTTTCTTTTTTCGAGTGCTTACAATACATCCCTTCATGAATTTGTGGCCATTCTTTGCATATGTGTAACATTTTGAAATTTCTAGTCCTTGAAATCAGGACAAGGTGCACAATTAACATAGACATGGTATATTTGTTGCACCTCTTCATTCAAAACCACATTTTTTTTTTCTCCCCATG